CCTACTTCTGGAGAATCAGGCTGTCCCTTTCTTTCCTGCTCTGTGTGTCCCTGAATAAAGCTGACATTTCACTCGGAGTGTGCACGGGGGTGACTTGCAGGGGCACGCCAAGAGAGTCAGTGTGAATAAGGAAAAACGAGGGGAGCTTGCGGCTTGTGAGAGCCTGGGGGGAAAAGCAGCAAAGAAACAGAAGCGAGCAGGTGTAGCCCCCAAGGGCGGTCACTTCTGTTTCTGAGGGTGTGGGAGGGCCTTTGGGTCAGCTGGGCTGGTGGGGGAAGGAGCCTCAGGAGCAGAGTTTGGGAGGAGGTAGGTCAGGGCTGTTAGCCCGAGGCAGCCGGTGCTGGAGGCAGTTTCCACCTTTCTTTCTGGGCGGCCTCTGAAGGACCAGGTGCGGCCCTGCGTCCTCAAGCTCTGAGCTCGTGGGTCACTGATTAGAGCAGAAAGGAAAACAACAGGAAAAAAACCAACAAAGCTAGGAACCAGTTTTTTTGAAAGTAAAACTGACAAGACTTGTGCTGGACTAACCAAGAAAAAGACAGGACTCAAATCAACAAAGGCATAAGCGAAAGAAGAGACATTACAACAGATACCACAGAAACACAGAGGCTCGTGAGAGACTGCTATAAACACACTCCCACAGGCTGCACAGCCTAGAGCTAAAGGAGTAAGCTCCCAGAAGCATACAGCATGCCAAGACTGGATCATGAAGAAAGAGAAAATCTAACTAGACCAATAAGGACTAAAGAGATTGAGTCATCAAGTTTCCCAACAGGACTTCCCTGGTGGTCCAGAGGTTAAGAATCTGCCTGCCAATGCCGGGGATGTGGGTTCGATCCCTGGTCCAGGGGGATCCCACATACCGCAGGGCAACTAAGCCTGCACGCCACAACCACGGAGCCTGGGGGCTCTAGAGCTGGAGGCCCACAAGGAGAGAAGCCAGCGCGCAGTGAGAAGCTGCCCACCACCCACTGGAGAGGGGCCCCACTGGCTGCAACCGGAGAGTCTGAGCGGCAACAGAGCCAGCGCAGCCGACAAACAATCAAGACTCAGAAACTCTCCCAGCAAAGAGGGCCCAGTCCCAGACGGTTCACTGGCGACTTCTGCCAAACCCTCAAAGGAGAATCAGTGCCAATGCTTTTCAAATCCCTCCAAAAATTTTTAGAGGGGTGAATTCTCTCATACTCATTTCACAAGGCCAGCCTTATTATCTTGATAACAAAGCTGAATAAGGGCATTGCAAGAAAAGGAAACTATAGACTTATATCCGTGAAGAATATGGATATAGAGATTCTCAACAGGGGACGAACAATAGCACATTAAAGGATCATACACTATAATCAAGTGGGATTTATCCCTGGGATGAAGGATGGTTCAAAATATGTAAATCGAGAAATGTGATAAAAACACATTAATAGTAAAGGGTAGAATTACATGAGTATCTCCACACATGCAAAAAAAAAGCATTTGACAAAATTCAACATACTTTTATGTTAAAGTCTCCACAAATTTGGTGTAGAAGGAATTTAAGTCAGCATAATACAGGGCATATGGGACAATCGCAGGTAACATCATAGTGGTGAAAGGCTGAGAGCGTTCCTGTTTTTTTTTTTTTAAGAAATTTTTATTTTGTTTTGATGGCTCAGCATGTGGGATCTGTTTCCCAACCAGGGATAGAACCTGTACCCTTCCGCCAACAGGGGACAAGCAGAGTCATAACCACTGGACTGCCAGGGAAGTCCCTCTTTTTAAGATCAGAAACAAGGGACTCATCCGCTGCCGCCTCCTTCTCCTGTTGTTGTCAATCTTTCCCAGAATCAGGGTCTTTCCTAATGAGTCAGCTCTTTGTATCAGATGGCCAGAGTATTGGAGCTTCAGCTTCAGCATCAGAGGGTCAGATGGTTGGAATAGCATCACTGACTCTATGGACATGAATTTGAGCAAACTGCAGGAGACAGTGAAGGACAGAAGAGCCTGGCGTGCTGCAGTCCGTGAGGATGCAAAGAGTCGGACACGACTTAGCGACATGATCCAGCAATCTCACTTCTGGGCAATAATCTGAAGGACATGAAATCACTATCTCAAACAGCTATATGCCCCCTTCAAGTTCACTGCAGCAGCATTCAAAATATCTAAGACAAAAAACAACCTAAGTATGGGTGAATAGAGGAAATGTAGTATATAATGAAGTGTATGAATATCATCATAAAAATGAGGAAATCCTGCCATTTATGACAGCATGAACTTACATTGAGGGTATCATGCTAAAGAAAAGTAAGCCAGACAGACGGACAAGTACTGTATGATCTCACTTATATGTGGAATCTAAAAAAATCAAACTCATAGAAACAAAGAGTGTATTGGTGGTTGGCAGAGGCTAGGGAGTGGGGGAAATGGGGAGATTTTGATCAAAATATAGAAACACATAGTTACAAGATGAATGCATCTGGGGTGTGTAATGTGCAGCATGCGGACTAGTTAACAATACTGTACTGCGTACCTGCAAGTTGCTAGGAGAGCAAATCATACATGTTCTCACCACACACACGTAACTAGGTGACCTGATGGGTGTGTTAGGCAACCTTATTGTGGTCATCATCTCACAGTATATACCTAAACACAGAGCAAATTATCACATCAAACACCTCAAACTTACTCAATATCATGTCATTTATCTCAATAAAACTCCACAAAATGATTTGCTAAACTTGAAAAAAACTTTGACCAAGAGGGATTTGAGGCTGCTTCAGTATTCAAGTCATTAATGTAATGTACTACATTAACAGAATGAGTAAATATCACACATGATCATCTCCATAGTCACATACACACCAAGCATTTGCTGAAATCCAACAACCTTTCATGATAAAAACACCCAACAAAACAGGAATAGAAGGGAACTTTCTCAACCTGATAAATGCAACTGCCCCTGCCCCGGCCCAGTTAACATCATACATACCCTGCGGTCAAAGACTGGATGCTTCTCTCCTAAGAGCAGAACAAGTCAAAGATACCTTGCTCTGCTACTTCTTAAAAATTTTATTTTGGGGGCTACACCATGTGGCATTTAGGATCATAGTTCCTGACCAGGGATTGGACCCAAGCTCCTTACGTTGGCAGAGTGGAGTTTTAACCACTGGACCACCAGGGAAGTCCCTGCTCTGCTACTTCTATTTGATGTTGTGTTGGGAGGTTCTGGCCTGGGAATTAGGTGAGAAGAAATAAAAGGCATCCAGACTGAAAAGGAAGAAGTACAACTAACTCTATTCCCAGAGGTCCAGGACCTCATGTACAGAAAATCCTAATAAATCCTCCAGAAGGCCGTTATAACTAATCAGGTTGCAGGAAACAAAGTCAAGGTCAATGAAAATTCCCAGAGTCACCCTCTATCCCTGCTCTTTCTAGGAACTCACATCCCAGCCATCAGGGGGTGGTCTCCCTGCTTCCTTCCTTGTCCTTCCTACCACCTACTCTTCACCCAGCAACCAGAACGACCCCTCTAAGGGGTCAGTTACATCCTTCCCCCCCATGTTCAAAGTCCTTCCATGGACTCCCCAGGTGGCCCTAGTAGTAAAGAACATGGCTACCAATGCAGGAAACCTAAGAGACGGTCAAGCCCAGGGTCAAGAAGATCCCCTGGAGGAGGGCACGGCAACCCACTCGAGTCTTCTTGCCTGGAGAATCCTATGCAGAGAGGAGCCTGGCGGGCTACAGTCCATGGGGTTGCAGAGTGGGACACGACTGAGCACGCTTGGCTTCCCATCCCAGAGAACCGGGTCAAGGTTCTTCCTGTGCAGGGTCTGCACCACCCCTCCCCCACACCTCTTTCCTACCAGTGTCCCTGGATCCTGGGTTCAAACCTCCCCTTTTCTTTCATACCTGGCACTCCCGTCTCAGGCTCTCTGCACCTGCTGTCCCCCTGCCCAGACCCCAGCTGCCTCGGTACGCTCCTGCTTGCCCTTCAGTTCCTGCAGGTCTTTGCTCAAATGTCCCCTTGCAGCTTCCCTCGCCTGCCCACCCCCAGATCCGTCTACCCTTTCACCTCCTCCGTCCTATACATGCAGGCACACTCTTTCAGCTCCCTGGGGGCTGAGAGTGGCAGGAATTTGTGTTTTGTCCCCTGCTGTGAGCCAGAGTGCGGCTTCTGCCTGCACAGGACTGTTTGTGGCTGGGCCCTGGAGCCTGAGTCACTTGACAACCTGGGTCTTCTCTGGCTTAGGACGCTGGGTGAAGTGGAGGCTGGGAGCCGTGGTCATCTTCCTCCTGGGGCCCCTTACTCATAGGAAACTGTCTCTTTTCTGCTGTCCTCCAGGCCTTGGGCTCCGGAAGGCTGGTGTCTGGCAGAGAAACCAGCAGCCCTTTCTTAGGGCTTTCTGAAGTGTTAGGTGGGGAGGTCCTCAGGTGAGCATCACACACACAGGGGGTCTGGCCATGTTATTAGCCCAACACAGGCCCTGTGGTGGTGACTTCGTTCGGACGGAGCCAGCCCCTTTTGGAAGACGTGCCTGAGGCTGGTGTCTGGCAGAGAAACCAGCAGCCCTTTCTTAGGGCTTTCTGAAGTGTTAGGTGGGGAGGTCCTCAGGTGAGCATCACACACACAGGGGGTCTGGCCATGTTATTAGCCCAACACAGGCCCTGTGGTGGTGACTTCGTCCGGACGGAGCCAGCCCCTTTTGGAAGACGTGCCTGAGGCCCGTCCCCAAGGACACACTCGTGGGTGAGAACCGTGCAGTTTGTCTCAGGTGTCCGGACGCCCACCCTCCCCGGACCGGGCTCTGGATTCCATGGCTAGTGCCCACGCGGGGCGCTCCAAGGCACGGATGGTCCCAGCAGGCTCCAGGAGCTGCAGAGGGAGGGGGTTTCCCTGGCTGCCAGGGCCGCGGGGTGGGGTTGGGGGGGGGGCGTGTATTCCAGAGGCGGCTCTCTCGGCTTGGGGTCCCCGGGNCGCCTTTGTCCCGCGCGGCCCGGCGCGGCCCGCGCTGCAGCGGCCCTTTTGTGTGCAGATGGTGGACGCGGGCGGCTGCCCGGCCGGGGAGGGCTGGAGGAGGATGGAGGCCGCGCCCGACGGCGCCGTGGACATCGTGCCGCTGGACCGCTACGACCCGGCGCGGGCCAAGATCGCCGCCAACCTGCAGTGGATCTGCGCCAAGGCCTACGGCCGAGGTGGGCCGGGCGCGGGGGAGGGGCCAGGCCGGCCTTTGTGCGGTGTCCCTGCGCGCGGGGTTGGGGGGCGCCGGTCCCGCAGGTGCGGCGATGGTCAGCGCGCCCCTGCACCCCGCGGCCGAACGCTGTTCTGTGCGGGCGGGAGTCCCGGGCCGAAACCCTTGTGACCCCTGCCCTTCTCCAGTCTGTCCGAATCCGCGGTGTGGGATCCCCTAACGAGCATTCCTTTCGGATGGATCGGGCTTCATTCGAGTTGCTCCCTTTGGTTAATTCCAGTTTTGAAGAACTGGGTAACCTTGTTACTGGTTAGGCCTTAAATATGCTTAGTGGATTTAAGACGCTCCTATTCTTCCAGCTCTCGCGGTTTTACAGGCCCGAGTGATTCTCCTGATTATTGCTTGGCTCCGAGGGCTTTCTTTGATTAATTTCAGGTGCTTTGTTTCAGGTGCAAAATCGAGAGGGAGTTCTGTGTCATCTTTCTTTTCATTTGAAGCATTTGTTTGAAAATTGCCTTTGTTCTGGGGAACGGTTCTTGTTTGTGGAGTGAGACAGAAAAGGAGAGAGACTCTTTTCAAAAAAAGAAAGAAAAAAAAAAACACGTCTGGTTGACCGGTTTTGAAAACTTGCTGAACGGGGCGGTTCCCGGTGACAGTATCTCACCAGTTGGAGTGGCCTGTGCTGTGGATGGAGTCGATCAAGAGCACAGACACACCCTGCAAGTCCTGGGGATTAAAGGCAGGGCCTCCTTTTAAGTTGGTTTATATCTACAGAGAGAGCTTCTCCCCCCCCCCCCCCCNTTCAGTGTTACAGTTTTTTTTATACTTCCCAAGTTTTATTCTGTTTCTGTTTAGTACGATGGGGAAACAGTGATTTTGGGGAAAATACGGAATTGGTAAAAAGCATGTATGAAGTTTTGGGGACTTCTCTGGCAGTCCAGTGGTTAAGACCCTGGACCCTGTAACGTAGGCAGCACAAGTTCAGTTCCTGGTTGGGGAACTAAGATCTTGCATGCTTTGGAGCAGCCAGGGGGGGGGAAAAGCCTGTATGAAGTTTTAGAGTACAGGGTAAGGATTGAGTCATCCTAGAGCGGCTACTCAGGTGTCCAGCGGTCAGTTTAAGGAAAAGGACGTGGCTGTTGAACTTTGTGGGGCAGTGTGTCCCCAGTCCGTGGCCTCCCCTTACACCTGCCTCTTGTCTTGGGTTGACTGCTGGTTTGCTTTTTTTTATGTGTACCGCATATTTTTACGTCACTGAACTCTTCTGGTTTAGTTCTGCGTGTTTTTGCGGCTGTCACAGCGACCGCTCTACCCTGATCAGGTTCTTGGACTCCTCCTCGGGTCCTCCGTGGCCGCCGCCTCGCTTTTCCAGTGCTGTGTAGTATCTCACAGGAAGCCTGTTCACTGTTGCCGGTCCTGGCTGGCCGGCCTCCAGTTCTGTGCTTTGGCACAGCGCGTTCTCCGGCATGGCTCTTGGGGCGCGTGTGCAGCGTCACTGCTGTGTGTATTTTTAAGATTTTTGCATGTGGAGGTGGCTAAGGTTTTGGGATTGAATGCTGTACAGGCACGAATGCTTCTAAAAAGCCCTCTCGTTGTTTGCTCTCCAATTTCTTAAGCTTAGTGAATGCATTTTTATCCTGTTGCATTTAGCCTTGGCATCCAGTGTGGGATTTGTCAGCTCTCTGGCAATAAATATGCATCTCTCTCACTGTCAGGATTGGATTAGTCTGGTTTTATTTCCAGGACCAAATCACCCTTTATTACTTGTTGGTGCTTCAGGTAATTAATTCAAGAGCCGATATGAAAACTGGTTCTAAAATTCTGAGATGACTGGGGGTGTGTATTTATAGAGCAGAGCATGAGCCGGGGCTGAAGGAGACTAGAGGCCATCTGAGATTCTGAGGCTGGGCTGCATGTTGCCCGTCCGCTGCCTTGGTGCATTCATCAAACACTAGATTTCAGGAGGTGTGCTTTCCATTCATTTTTGCAGAATGAGGATGCTTTTCTGGTCTGTACCTTGCCTTGGGGGGTCACAGTCTCACAGGAGGCTTTCCCTGTGACTCAGCGTGGGGTCTTGAGTTTCAGGAGATAGTGTGAGGTGGGGATTTTGGTAGAGGACCGTATAGATCTTTCCCCCCAAACTCTCTTCTTCGTCCAAGGGCCTGTTCTCTGTTTCATCTTCTGGACACCTCTATGTGCCTCTCTAGCTTGGTTTTCAGTTAATTAGAAGTGATGGTGTCAGTATGCATGCTTTACTTGTCAGTCAGCTTTTGAGGGGGATGATGGTGAAAGTGACTTACATCTTTGCTTGTTACACAATTGTTCATTGAGTAGCTACACTGTTTGCATGGGAACTGAAAGCATGTGAACTCTCCAGGATGATGTGCTCTGAGGCCACCCTGTTGCGTGCATGCCTTTTGGGACTCGGGTCTCCCTGGGGCCCACCGTCTGCCATTGGCAGTAGTGGGGAGGCTCAGGCGAGCTCACCCTTGGCCAGGCCTGGAGGTGGCATGTGGTTGTGCAGAAAGGCCTCCTCCAGTTTTCCTCATCTGTGACACAGCTGAGAACTGTGGGCTGGCTTGTGCTTTTATTTTTAGATTCTTCTCTTTTTTGGGGGTGTAACTTTTGTTTCATTGACAGTGTCTTAATGATTTCTTCAGAAATAACGTATTGGACATGTTGAAAGGTATTCACCTAAAAGAGTCATTAGAGTAGAACCTGCTTAGCTGGAATGCTTTTGTGATGTCCTTTTGGGTGAAAATCTTAGTTGGTCAAGTTTAAAGGGGTGACTTGACGTTTATTTTACAGTACAGGGTGCGGGACTGGAGCTACTGCATTCCTGGCTTTTGATTTCGGGCCATGACCTTAGGAACCTTAAAGGTATTCAGGCCTGAGTCTCAGGGACAGTGGGGGAGTAACAGCTTCTGTTAGCACCTGAGGACGGTATTGAGAAAGTAACCCATGGAAAGCACTCGGCTCTTTGTAGGTGTGTTGCTGTGTGACTGAGGAGCCCTGGAAACCAAGTTGCAGCTCGCTATGAACAGAGCTGCCCTGAAGCAGGCGGCCCGGACCTAGAGGCCGCCAGGGTACCTCTTCCCTTTCTGTTGGCAGCTGGGGGGATTGGAGGGGCCGCCAGGCTCTCCAGAGCCCGCTGCTGGCGAGGGGCTGGCACTCCGGTCCCTCAGCACAGTCTCTTCGTTGACTGCTGACTTGGAAACCACGCTGTGGGATGGGAGACTGGGGCAGCCTTGAGCGGGGTCTTTGGAGCCGGACCGCTGGTTGAGTCGCGCCCCCAGGCCAGCTCGGTGCTTGATGTTAGGAGCCGAGCCCCTCCTTGTGTGCTCCGGGGGCCACCGCGTTCCCTTGTTGTCCCACATCTGACTGAGAGGGAGCACGTGGTCAGCACTCCTCCAGGCCCCAGAGCTGCGGATGGAGTGGCCGCTGTGCCCGTCCCGGGGCCGGCCCTCATTCATGAGCATGTCGGCAGGTTTTTTGTTGTTGTTGATGACAAGTTTTTTTGATATGATGATTTGTTCAGATGATTGGTTTTTGAGTTTTTCAGAAATATTTTTTTAATGTATTTAGAAAATCAGAGGATAATTATTTTCCAGTGTTGTTCGTTTCTGCTGCACAACAACATGAATCAGCTGTATGTGCATATATATCCCTTCCCTCCTGAGGCTCCCTCCCTAGGTTTTGTATTTCCATAGTCTTTTGTTTTTAGCGTGGGATTTGGGTGCTGCTGAAATGGGAGGTGACAGGGCAGCCTCGGTGTGTCTCCTCAGTGGTACTAAGGACTAGGGGTCAGGGCGCTGGCTGACAGTGTGACCTGGCCTCCCCTTGGCCTGGGCGTGCTGAGAACTGCCCACGTCTGAGGTCAGAGTGGTTGTGGTGGTCCCATTCAGCGCTGTGTCCACAGGACAGGGTCTGTGCTCATGTGTTTGTCAGGTTGCTTAAAGAGTTGGAAACACCTTAGAAGCAGGTGGGGTAGGAAGACATCTGTCTTGGTGGCTCTATGTGGCTGAATTTTTATTTCTAAAGATACAACTCTTTGTACATGTTCTCTTTCCTATCCTGATGCCACAAATTAAATACTAACCAAAGAATGTAAATCTGTCTTTAAATTCAGACTGTCCCCATCTTTTGAATCAAAAGCGTTGGCCACTGTTGTGCTTTAGACTGTTAAGTTTGTGTAAGTGTTCTTACAAAGAGCCCTGGTATTTCTTTCTATTCCATTTATCCTCCTAATTGCTCACAGGTGTCCAAGCTGATTTTCTGGTGGCTGTATCACTGTTGTATGTACCAGTCTCCTTTTTCACTTCCTACATTGAAAAATTCAGATGGCCGTCACTTTTCATCTAATGTAAAGGTGACCAGGATGGGGCCAGTATCATGTTCATTTAATCAGTAACAATCTCATAGCTGTCACGGGCACGGTTGTGTTTTGCACTGTAGGAAGTACAAGGGGAGGAGTTATGTGATGTTCTTTCCTTATTTGCTGAAAATTCACATGAACTGTTGACATATACAAAGGAAAATGAAGTAATGCATGATGAAAAATGGCAGCATGTCCTTAGTTCAGGACCTGTCTCAAGGCAGAAGATGGAATTGTCAGATGTTCCCACGGGACCCGAGTGCCTGGGCTGCTGGGCGCCGTGGTCCCTGTGGGGGGGCTTCGTGGGGAGGTGGGCTTTGAAGGATGGCGGATATTTGGGTAGCTCCCCCGCCCCAGGAGTAGAGGGGAGGGCATCTGGTAGGTTCTGTGCAGAGGAGGAAGTGTTCGTAGGCCTGAGTCGATTAACCTTATTGTGACAAGAGGATTTGTGGACCGAAATAGTAGGTGATTAGTGTGGAAAATAGTGTGGGCCAGACTGTTCGTGGGGTTCCCAGCTGGCTAGGGATTTCTTTCCTGATGGGTGCCCGGGAAGGTCTTTGCGTAGGGGTGATGGGTTGAGAGCTAGCCTGGCAAGATTCTTCTGACAGGTTGGAGCGGGTAGGGGCTGT